CTCAAAAATAGTTTTGACTGAAGGATTGATAATATTCAGCCCTTATTACTGATGTAATTGTAAACCTCCTTGAAACATTCATATGAAGATGATCACAGGAAAATAAGGCATAGTACAAAACTTGAGCTTGGGCAAGGAACATCACAATGTGAGACAGCTAGGGACTTAAAAGCGATGCCACGGTGAATACTCTGGGGAATGAAACACTTCAAATGTTCAAAAATTCAGAAAAGAAATTACGCCTCACCTATGTGAAGCCCTATGTGTCCTTTTCTACATAGCACAAGAGAATTCTAAGGGGATTGGGAATTGGTGCAGAAGGAAAGGAGGAAGGAAATTATTGCATTTTCACCTTCTCCCACTTTATCGCTGGGCTAGGGGATGACTCATGTACATCTTCTTGAAATATCCATTGTCATCAATAAAATGAAGTTTTAAATAAAGCAATATTGAAATTAGAGTCACACTTATTTCCTGTCATTATTTCCAAGATGTTGAATAATCCAGATGAATGGAAGAAAAAAAGGTCAACGAGTTCATCCTTAAATATATTCAGAGAGAAGCTTTCAGGAAACCAGACTGGATTAAAAAAAAAAAAAAGTAAAGAAACATGAGACTAACATAATACGTACGGGATAACTAAAAACTCATCCAGTTCTCAAAAGGTTCACATATGAGGGTTACTGTTCACCTGCCTGATGGTACATTTCCTTTTTGCTTACTCTACGAGCATGAAATCAACCAAGCAAGACAAACGTGCCTTTTTAATACTGTGTGCTTAATAAGCAGTGATCCGTCCTACTCACTTAAAAAATCTAGTTAAGCAGATTGGATCCCAGTCTTCCAAATGTTTACAAATGGTGATAACACTGGTAGGATTAAGCTCCACTGGGTACATCACATATTTTTACATATAATACATGTTTCTGGATTTCTTTATGCATGTTTACATGTACTTTTTATAAAACTTATGTCATGTTGCATAAACTATATGGCGTACTACTTTTTTTTTCAACTTACAGGGCTATTAGAGTAAATGCATATATTTAAGTAAGTTTTCAAATTATGAATTGTACAGTCATATTAGAATAAGAATTAGACATATGTCTTATACATCAGCACAAAGAAAAATACCCAAAGATGGAATTACAATTTAAAAACTGCTTTATAAATTATTTTCAGATATTATTATTTTTGTTTTCTTCTCAGAAATATTTACTGTGGAAAATGCAGATGATGCAGGTTGGTGCAAGAGTAATTGTGGTTTTTGCATTGCTGAAATTTGCTGTTTGATATTGGAACACATTCTTAAATAAATGTGGTTATGGTTATATCATTTTAATGTGCATTTCTCACTTTATGCTTTTCTACTAATGACTTATTACTTGTTTATTTCATATTTATTTTAGCCTATGGAAATGATGTTAGACAAAAAGCAAATCTAAGTGATTTTCCCTTTTTTTTTTTTTTTCTTTGAGACAGAGTCTTGCTATGTCGCCAGGCTGGAGTGCAGTGGCGTGATCTTGGCTCACTGCAACCTCCAACTCTCTGGTTCAAGCAATTCTCCTGCCTCAGCCTCCTGAGTAGCTGGGACTACAGGTGCCCGCCTCCACGCCCAGCTAATTTTGTATTTTCAGTAGAGACAGGTTTCACCATGTTGGCCAAGATGGTTTCAACCTCCTGACCTCAGGTTCCACCCTCCTCGGCCTCCCAAAGTGCTGGGATTACAGGCGTGAGCCACTGCGTCCAGCCACGGTTTTCTTATTCAAGTTCAAAATGGGTCATAAAGCAGCGGAGACAATTCACAACATCAACAACACATTTAGCCCAGGAACTGCTAAGGAACGTAAACTGTAGTGGTGGGTCAAGAAGTTTTGAAACGGAGGAGAGCTTTGAAAATGAGGAGTGTAGTGGCAGGTCATTGGAAGTTGACAACAACCAGTTGAGAGCAATCGTTGAAGGGGATCCTCTTACAGCTACACAAGGAGTTGCTGAAGAATTCAGCGTCGAACATTCTATGATCATTCAGCATTTGAAACAAACTGGAAAGGTGAAAAAGCTCCGTAATTGGATGCTTCATGAGTTGAGAGAAAGTCAAAGGAATCATTGTCTTAAAGTGTTGTCTTCTCTTATTCTATGCAACAACAATTAAGCATTTCTTGATCAGATGTGACATGCGTGGCCGGGCATGGTGGCTTATGCCTGTAATCCCAACACTTTGGGAGGCCAGCGTGACTTGATCACCTGACGTCAGCAGTTCGAGACCAGCCTGACCAATAGGCGAAACCCCGTCTCTACTAACAATACAAAAATTAGACTGGTGGGGTCGCTTGCATATGTAGTCCCTCCCAGCTACTCAGGAGACTGAGACAGGAGAATTGCTTGAACCCAGGAGGTGGAGGTTGCAGGGAGCCAAGATCAGGCCACTGCA